GGGGGGAAATCCAGCAATTTACCTGCACGGGATTGAGGAGCTCCCAAGTGACAGAGAACCCTCCCCAATCCTTCAGAGAATCCCCTGTGATCTCTGTGACAAAGACATTCCTCTTCTCTGTCTTTAACATTAAGGCCCTCTGCAGAAGAGTGAGCCCACTTTTCTCTTCATTCCTTCTCTGTTGTCTGTAGAGCTAATGGCCCCCTCCTCCTGAAGCCCACCCACTGGTTATGGCTCCCTGGCCTTTGTCTCCCTCTCCATCAACAACCAGGATGCAAAAAACACTCTTGTCTTTTACAGTTGAGGAGCCTAGCCATCATGAATACTCTGACCAGACTCTCTACCCCATCCCCAGCACATTCAGCCTCTCTAAGAAGCATCTCCTGATATGGCTGTTTCCACCACCCACCTACTTCTCTCACCTGAAGGGGCTCAGTCAGGTCTCAATTACCACCACCACTACACCACCCCAGCCCTCATTCAGTGGTCCAGAACCTAGTCCTGGGCAACAGCCAGCCTGAGAGCAGAACCTAGCCAAGGATGAGGGCTCCACAAGGATGAACAGAGCCCTGGGACAGATGCTTAATTCTCTTTACCCTGCTCATCTCCTCCACAGGGCTTTTCTGGGATAAAGGATCTTGGAACTATAAACACTCTTTTTAAACAGAGCCTCTCACCAGAGAGATGTCTCCATTTACCCTGGACGAGCCTTAGAATAGCTCTAAATCTCGTACCAGCTCTCATGCCAGGATGCGTCCCCCAAGAAAACTGAGACAAGGTTCAGAATGACAGCAGGCAGAACTGGTGCCCAAAGAGCCCCCAACCTCCACCCTATCCAAAGCCAAGGGACTTTTGGTGGCATCCTACACTCACAGGCAGCTCACTGACAGGGAGCGCCACTATCAGCAGAGGCCACCAGGGTAAGAGAGGGCTCAGGCTGAGCTCAGGCCAACCCTGACCAGAGCCCCGGGCTGGCCCAGGCCACAAGCCTTTCCTCACAGGAGCGAGAGGCTGCAAGACAAATGCGAGCATTAGAACAGCACAGCCAAGAGGCACAGCTGGGAGGGGGCAGTGCAGCCAAAGATACAGCCAGGTGGTGGCCCCATAGCCACCAGTACTGTCACGGAGGCAGCTCCAGGTGAGTAAGCAGCATCTTAGGGGAACAAACGAGCTGCATCCACTTTCTAGAGGCAAGCAGGTATGTGAACACACACACACACACACACACACACTCATACACACCCCCTCTCCAACCCACCAAACCCATTTGCAGGACCTGACTGGGGCCCTAAGGGTGAAGAGGATTGTGTTTAGAAACTTTAAAAGGACAGATAATAGAAGGAAAAGAAGCAGACAAAGGCATCCTCTACACAGACACAACTTAAAATAAAAATATGAGCTACCATTAATCCAGCAAGGCATCATATCAAGACATTCTACTATCTCATTTATTTTCATAACAGTGCTATCAGGTAGGTGCTATTTTATTCCCATTATACAGATAAAGAAGCTGAGGCTCTGGGAGATTTAAGCTACTTCACACATTTTGAAGCTGGGATTTAAACTCAGGTCTGTCTCACCCCAAGCCTCATGCTCTTAATATGATGTGCTGAGCCTCAGGAAACACCAAATCCCAACACAGTTCTTGGCTTATGGCAATTTCACCATCATCCCCACTCCCACCACCTTTGACCTGATTTCTGACTCAGCCTTTCTTCCTGGCTCGTTGCTGAGGCAAGGCCCACTGAATATCCCAGTGGCTTTCTATTCCTTCCCACAATGCCATGTTCTTCCACCCACTCTTCTTTATGTCTTTGGGCCCTGGTCCCAGGGGCCCCTGCCTGGTATTAACAGCACCTCCAATCAGCTCCCCCACCCAGCAGAGGCCGAGCTCCCCAAGCTTACTAAGACAGATAGCTGGGCTGGGCTGACAGCTCTGGGGGGGATCCCTGAGGGGCTTCAGGACGAGCCAGGGAGACAGAAGCCAGATTGTGCCTCCCTCACACTTACTGGCTGAGGAGCAGAGAGAAGGCTGGGGCTGCATGCCTGCAGAGGGGGCTGTTCTGTCCCGGGAGCTCCGTCCTTCAGGCACCGAGCTGCCATTCCCAGTGCGGAGCGGGGCAGCTAGCCAGCCAGGGCAGGGCAGGGCAAGGCAGAGCAGCCAAAACAAACAGAACAAGGCAGGTGAGCGAGCAAGCCAGACAGGACCCAAGCCCGTGGCACTGCAGAGCTGGGGCAAGGCAACGCCTCGGGCTGCTGTGGACACTGGACCACATCCCACGCTGCCGCCTCTGCCAGAGAGGCCTCCCAGCTGAGAGCCCCGGGAAGGTGCACAGACTTGGGCTTGTGGCTTACAGAGGAGCCTTCAAACAGACTGTACAAGGACCCCTGCTCCCAGGGAAGATGTTCTAGGGCGCTAGGCTACAAGGTCAAGAGCCCAGCAGTGAAGGAGCCACTGACTCCACCAGCATCACCAGAACTGAATTGCTCTGGCCTTAATCCCAGCAGCCCTAGAGGTACTGTTGTTTATTGCTTTATACATTTATGCTATTTTTTTTTCGTTCCCAAAGGTTTATTGCCCCCTTACTGCTCCTGTGTGTGTTCTCTTAGCTCTGTCCTGCAGCATTTCTCCATCTTTTCTGAGAGCCTGGCCTCAGGCCACTTACTGTGGCAAAGGGAACAATTCCAGGAGGCCAAACCAAAGAGCAGGGCAGAGATTCCCAGGGGTCTGGCCTGCCACGCCCTCCCACACCCCCTGGCCCTCCTGGCCAGGCCCAAGCTTAGGGTGGTGGTCCTCACAGGACCACCTGGATATGGCCAAATGTGGTTCTGGCTCCATCATTCATGTCAAGACTTTGTGATGAGAGTGACTGATCCCAATGTGCCCAGGACCGTTCTAGTTTTAAAACTGAAAGTTCCACATTCTGGGAATCACCTCAGTCCTAGGGAAATTGGGACCATTGGTCACCCTACTAATGACTCACTATATTTAAGGGCTACTTCTGCAGGGGCTCAGGATGTCCCTGTACAGCAATGTCACATCATTATCAGCAACAGGAACAGTTCTCTGAGCCCTGGCCCTGGAAAGGCTTAGGAAAAACTCTAGGTTAGCTATTCCAGACCTGGGGTCAAAAAAGAGAAGCCTCTTGCCTAGCCCAGCCAGGCCAGACAGGGACCTCACAACCCACAGAGAGTAGCTTTTATGCCAAGCCCTCTCCTAGAGTCTAAGGAGTCACCATTCTCAGTTCTGGGGACAGACAAGACAGGTGCCCCACTGGAGCCAAGGTACCAGGGACACTGCTAGGGTCCCTTCCCGACCCTGCCAGCACCTACCTTTGAGGTCTTCATCTTCTGTGGTGGTGTTGCAGCTCTCTGTGGAGCCCTGTAGGCCAAAAAGAACATGTTTCTATAACACTCAGGCCCTTGGAAACCAGAGAAACTGAGCAAAACAGAAGCAGAGTATGTGCTCCTGCAGAAGGTGCAAAGAAGAATCATAGGAAGTTCTATTTTCACCCTTGCCATCTGACTTTTATAACACCTTGGGTTCCCAGATCCCCTCCCAAGTCTTCCCCAACTCAGTAAATGACAATATCTATCTTGTTGTTAAAACCTACAGTCACCTTCTAGGTTTGATTCTAGGTTGAATCTTTGCTTTCTATTTTTTTTAAATGTTTATTCATTTATTTTGAGAGAGAGAGAGAGAGCGCACAAGTAGAGAGGGGCGGTGAGAGAGGAGAGAGAGAATCCCAAGCAGGCTCTGAGCTGTCAGCACAGAGCCCGATGCGGGGCTCGAACTCAAAAACCCTGAGATTGTGACCTGAGCTGAAATCAAGTAGGAAGCTTAACCAACTGAGCCACCCAGGCACCCCTCTTTCTCTTATATCTTAATTATCCAATCTAAATTCAAATCTCTTAGTTCTACCTCCAAAGTAAGTCCTGTCTCTTAACTCCTCATTTTTTTAAAAAAAGATTTTACGTTTAAGTAACTCTACACCCAATATGGGACTCGAACTCACTACCCCAAGATCAAGAGTCACATGCTTCACCAACTGAGCCAGCCAGCCTGGCACCCCTACCCCTTCTCTTTAAATGCACAGCTACTATTTGATTCCAAGTTACCAACATCTGGGACCTGAACTACAATAGCTTCCTGGGCCCCCTGCATCCATACTTGCCTACCTCCCTAAAGCTCTTGCCCATAACACAGCCAGAGGGGCTTTTCAAAGTGTAAATTAGACTATATGACTCTCCTGCTAAGAACCTCCAATAGCTTCTCCTGACTGCTGGAATAAAATGCAAACTACTATGAAGTCCTACGAAGCAGGCCTGCCTGCTTCTCCAACACCTCCTGCCCCTTCCCCTGCTCCCTTCCCCTTTCATCTTTCTTCCTTGTTGCCTAGCACCAGATCCTCCCCCACTTTCCTCCTCTCCCCCACCGCCTAATGCCTTCTCCTGGTTCCATAAATTATGGTTTCATTTCTTGGTTTTCCTCTGTTCAGAGGTATGACAGCAGCCTGTCCTACATCTAGCGCGCATTATGCCTGTCTGGGGCCCGATTTGCTCCAGAGTCAGCCCAGCTGTCTCCTTCCTATGTTAGTTTGTTTTAGGCTCAAAATCTTGAGTCTCTGACCATGATTTTGGGGCCTTCACTTCACTCTACTTTAGCACATTGTCGTTTTTCATGATTTACCACTACTGGATTTTATCTTACTTATTTGGTTTTTGGTTTATTATCTGCCTCCCCCACACCTGTGGAGAGAGATTTTTATCTTGTCATGAGTAGTGAAAATAAGACAAAGTTACTGAGGGCATAGTGGGGGAGGCAATGGAGGATGTTCTAAGGGTCTGGTTATACTCTCCTCTGTTTTTCTAGCTAATTGCTGCCATTTAAGCCTCACAAGTCATGGAGTAAGATTTAATTATTATTATCCTCAATTTACAGAGAAGCAAATTGAAGTGCAGAGCACCAGAGTGACAGTGGCCCCAGATTCAAACCCAGGCCTGCCTGACTATAGAGCTTGAAGTATACTGCTGTCCAGGAAACAAACAGATGCACGGTATTCCCAGCCTGGACTCCACACACATACCGTGGCCTCGAGGTGTGGCCTGTCATCTGCCATCTGCAGGACCCATAGACCCTGTGATCCAGCCCACCTGTTTCCTGCTGATCCATAAAGCAGGAGACCAGCTCAGGAGCCACTCACCTTGATCCCATCTGTAGCATTGTGCACCACGGTGGTTTGTGGCTCCTGTGAGAGAAGATGAAAATTACCCTCTTGACCTCAGGACAGACCTACAGCTTTTCCCTGAGGGACCCTATCCTTATCCCATCACAGACCCTATGATGACCACTGAGGCCTGCCCACCAGCCATTCCCACAAGACAAAATATCCTGGCTCAACTGGGTCCCAGACAGCTGGGAAACCCCAGATTTAGGGGACAGCACTGGCTGAGAAAGAAGGAGAGGCCTGGCACTTAACAAAAGCAGGTACCAGGGAAGCTGAGAGGTCAAGGGCCTCTGTCCCTGATTCCTTGATTCCTGCTAGATCTGAGTGTTCTTTCCCACGGGACAGGTACACTGGAGGAGCTGTGGGGCTGAGGGTCCAGGCCAGGTGCTGCCAACAGCATTCATCAAGGAGTATGTAGGAGGAAGGGACACAGGGAGAGTAGACTAAGGTCTCCCAGAAAGACCCAGGATGGCCCCTCAGCAAGCTGAGCCCAGAGAGCTGCTTGCTTTACCACCTTTCCCCAGAGTTCCTGTCCCTGTTGTGCCATAAGGCAGCACGAGGGTCCGGGTCTGCAGGCACAATTATCCCTCCTTCTCTCCCAGTCACCCCCCCATGCTAACTCTCTAGTTAGCCACCACTAGCAGAAGGTGCTCTGGGAGCACACAGTGCCCCCAGCATGGGGCTCTCCAGGAACTCAGAGACCTCAGCACCATCCAGAGGTAAGGGACCCCAGCCCTCCTTCTTGTTCAAAGCTTTGCAAAGGAGAAGCCGAGGCAGAGTTTACAAGGAGCCTCTAAGAACCGATGTGCAGGTCCGAAGAAAGCTCCTACCCTCTTCTTTTATAAGCCACTCACCTTCCCGGCTCCCACAGCAGACCCATGGGGGCCCAGCCTGGGGCTGAGAGGTTTAGCTGAGAGCCCTGACCACTCTTCCCCCCCAAAAGCGAAAGGAGCAGGAGCAGCAGTTGTGCGGTGCAGGAAGGAGCATGGCCACACGGGACAATGAGGGGAAGGGGCCCACAGGGCAGTACACAAAGCAGCCTGCTCTATAGGGACTAGAAGGAAAGGGCCAAGGAGGCCTGGGAGGGAGGGCAAGAAGAGGAAGGGAGAAGGAGCGGGAGGCAGCCAGGGGCAGGGGCGGAGAAGCCGTAGTCAGGAGGTACCATGGCCGTCTGCAAGGGCGCGGGCTCTTGGGCTGGGCTTACGAGACTGTTTTTGTTGTTGCTCTGTGGCTGAGACAAGAAAACAGATGGTTTAGTTCCTCTAGAGTTACCAAAGCTGCTCAGGTTCGACTCCCAGACCTCCCTTGCCCCCCGGCCTGGCCCGGAGGAGCTAGGCCTGAGGTGGCCTCCATAATACTATGTGGATGGGAGCAATGGTCGGAGAGATGATCAATCTGAGGAGGGGAGTATTGGGAGAGGCCCAGAGACCTAGCTCTGGAAGCATCCTTAAGGTGGGATTAGCCCTGAGGCTTGTTTTAAAGCATCTCTCCAGAAATCTCTGCTTATGTCAGATGCCACGTCACTGCACAATCATACTTCGCTCAAAGAAATTCAGGATCTTCTTATTTTACAGGGAAAAAGAAGGGTGGTTTATAAGAGAGCAGAACAAAATTCAGAAACTCTGGGCCCCCTATCTGTGGGCAGTCTCCTGCTGCCCTTTCAACCTGCCACCTGCATTTCCTTTCCCTTAAAACATCAGCTCGGAGCCTGATCTGAAAAGAGGAGGAACATGAAGAGAAAAAAAAAAACCTCGCCTAGAAGATGGTGGCGAGATTTCCTCGCCTAGAGGAAAGGGGGGGAATGTGACTTTGGATACAGAATGCACCCACTGCCCCCAGGGAGCAGAGACAAGGCTATGCAGTTGGCACAGATATATTTTCTGCCTGATAAATCTTGGATTTGCTCAACTGGGAGTGAGAGCAGAACTCCAAGGCAGGGCAGGTGAATCCAGGGTGGGTGGCTGTGGCTATGGTCCCAGAACCCAGCCGCCGGGAGAGTAGGCTGCCTAGCGGGCCAACATTCCTAACAGCAGCAGACCACTGGGATATCTCCTTGCCTTTTGAAATGTTATACTGAATGGCACAGCAAGGAAGGTGGGGGAGGATGGTGAGGAAGGAAGGAAGCTGATCTCCGGGGTGGGGGAGCCATATCTATAAGAGGCTCTTTTGCCTCTTACAATCCCCTCTGCTTCTTATGATACCCTCACCAATGTACTCAGTACCACTGGGAGTCCCAGTGGAGCCAGTGGCCACCAAAGAGCAGCCTGATGCCTGCATGTTCTTCAAAAGACAGAGAGACAAACATGTAGCTACCATCTCTGTGCAGGGCACAAATGAGGACACATTGGCAGTTAGGATGTGCTTCTTCCTTCCTAGGACACACACAGAAAGCTAGCAAGACTGTCCTACTTCTTGACTGGAGGCTTCTTTTATGGCTCCTTAGACCAGACCTGAAGGCATCCAACCCTAGCTTGCTGTCAATGGCTGACATGTCCCCAAACCCAGTGCTAGGCATGGAACCTTAAGCCAGGTACCAAGTACTACCAGACTCCACTGAACTCTGCAGGCTGGAAAAGAGGGGTCCCAGGAATAGTCAGGATGTGGGTCTAAACTCACATAAACTCTGCTCTCTTCTATTCCCCACCCCCCTAGCTCAGCTACTAAGTCTGACCTGTTTGGGACTCATTGGATAAGGCTGCCCTCCCTGCAAAGCCTAGCTGAGACAGAGATCTTGGCAGGGAGCGAGAACTCCAGGGTGCTCTTAAGCCTGCCATATCTGCAGAAGGCTGAGATGTCACCCAGGTGGACCGACCTCTGGCTTTAATGGATGGTTTCATAACAATTCAGGCTGCTCCCTCCCCTTGGTGGCCTGTGTCCCATGAGAAAGAAAGGTACGTTCTCTGGATTCTTTCAGCTGCTCCTCCTGAGGGGTGGGTGGGGAAGGATGAAATGTTGGGCACAGCCTGTTAATGGGCACTTGCATAGGGGAAAAGGCTGACAGTAAGGCTCAGGGCTGTAAGCCTACAACCAGGTCCTCTGCCCATCACACAGATGCCCACCAGCTGCCAGTCTGTAGCAGGAGGCCCCAGTGAGCAGGGCCTCTCCTCCTGAGCAATAGCGAGTGAGGGTCTCTCCCTGTGACTGCCACCTGGCTCCGAGTCCCTCCTAGCTTCACTTCCTGCCCTGGGCTGCTGGAGGCAGTCCAAGCTCTGCAGCAGGGGGTGCCATACCATACATTCCGATGCCCATTTTTTAGGTCACCGGGAAACCTTGGGCAATGGCCCCTGCTTGGCAGGACAGGCCACGCTTGCCCACACAGCACAGACATGCAGTGAGGATGAGTGAAGCACACGCACATGGCAGAATGGGTTTGCGTGGCTGGCAGGCGGGCACGCAGGCAGCATGGAGGAGGCAGATGGGTGGGCAGGCAAGGCTCACCATTAGGTGCACGCTGGAACTCGACTTCCTTTTCTGGACACACCACAGCGAAAGGGAAAGAGAAGGGGAAAGAGGAGGTAAGAAGAGAAGCACAGAGACGCCGCAGGTTAGTGCAGCAGCGCGGGCTCTGCCTCAGGAGGAAAGAGTGGAAGAAGGAGACCTGGAGCCCAGCACCAGAAGGATTAAAACAGCACCTAGACCACCAGGCACACAAATCCCTCCAGACCCTGGGAGAAGACCTCCTTTGCTGTCAGGTTCACAAACACAGATTTAGTATATTCTAAAATGTCTCAGCATTGCTCAAAGCTTTGTGAAGAGATTAACTCACAAGTTTATGAAGGTAACATTTTGCTGCAAATTGACGGGTTTAGGCTTACAAGGCTGGCTCTCCTATAAGGTTATTTATTTTCTCTCATTACTAGGTCTGCCCAAAATTTGGGCAAGCAGCTACCAGGTAAATAGCAAAAGCCACTCGGGGCCATCCTCAGCTTTAGAGACATTATACTTCTGAACCTAGTTTTTTTGTTTGTTTTTTGCCGCACCCCTATACTGCTTTTCAGATAAAAATGTTGAGCTTTTGAAAATCATCTGGTAAACAGTGAATTGGTAGCATCCCTTTCTTTGTCAGTGTGGCCATGCTCATTTATAAGACTACAGTATCTCACTGCATTTTGGAATTAGTGGGAAATGGGAAAATAGGAGTGCTGGTGATTAAAAGTGCGGTGATGACAAAGACATCAAGATGTGAACCAGGGGGAATGTTGAAAGCAGTGATTCTTTAGCCCTCAGCCAGATGCTCATGGACTTTATGCTCAGATGTGAAACAAGAGCATAAACATAAAGACCACATGGAACACTGAAAGTACATCTCAGAAAGCTGTGTCTAAAAGGTGAAAGCACTTTATAATTAGCTTGCTGGGAGACAGAAGTACCCTTGGAACATGTCCTATCTGTTGTCTGACTACTATTCTAGGCACAGTGAACATGTCAGATAAATGCTCCTTTCCTCAAGAGCCTGCATTCTACTTTAGAAGACATCTTCAGGACGGTATTAAATTGAAAAGAAAGGGACTACAAGTATTGAAAAGAATCGAAAATTACATCTAAAGGAAAAGAAAGCCTAAATATAATTGGGCAGCTTCTGCTTCTTTTTTTAATTTATTTTAAATTAAAAAAAATTTTTTTTAAGTTTTATTTATTTATTTTTGAGAGAGAGACAGAGTGAGTGAGCGGGGGAGGGGCAGAGGGAGAAGGAGAGAGAGAATCCCAAGCAGGCTCTGTGCTGTCAGCACGGAGCCCGACGCAGGCCTCGAACTCACACACCGTGAGATCATGACCTGAGCCGAAACTAAGAGTTGGACTCTTAACTGACTGAGCCACCCAGGGGCCCCTCTTCTTCTTTTTTTAAAAAAATCATCTCTGTGCCCAATGTGGGGCTCAAACTCACGATCTTGAGATCAAGAGTTGCATGCTCTACTGACTGAGCCAGTCAGAAACCCCTAATTGGACTTCTTTTGCATTAGTCTTTCATTTATGCCCCAAAATGAGATTTTACTTCCAAAATTATTCCTCAAAAAGAGGAAGATGCGCTACATCCATACTTATCCTTTTATCCAACTAGAGTGTTTACAATGTGAGGGAAGGTCCATCTTTTTAATCTCCTCTGTGCCTAGCAAAATGCCTTAAAGTTAGCATATGATCAACAAACTTTTGCTGAGTTGAACTGGGTTTGTGGACACTGGTTTCTCCCCAGGCTAAAGCAGAGCACAGGTTTCTAACTTGCCCAGAATCACTGGAGTGAAAACTGCAGGGACACTGACCAGGCCTAATCTTGGTTCTTGTGATTTTCAGGAACATGCTGTCAAGCTTTCACCTGGACTTCACCTTAGGTAGAGCACTTTCTATTGTCTGCTTCACCTAATGGGGAGTAAGTTCTCAATTCCAGCTGCCTCTCTTTTTCCTAAACTGTCCTGCAGGAAAACCTAAGATAATCCTCTTCTACCCAAGGGCTAGTTTCTACTGGGTTAGTAGACTTCTTCCAGTTCCTCTCTCCATCCTTTCAGGGCTTTGCCCTCAACCATGTATAGTTGAGCTCCTCTCAACCAGCACAATGCAGCATTGTTTCAATACCAGATCATTTTTAAAGAATCACATCTCACTTTTATTTAAAAATTAAATACTTAAAATTTGAAATCAGAAAAGGGTTCAAACCTACTTTCCATACTTAAACAAATATCCAAATAGTACTTAAGGAAATGGCTATATCCCTTGTTTTTTTCTTTTGTTCCTTTATTTTTTTTAAAACTGGATGGCCATTCTGGCCTTGGGGCTAGTCCTCAACTAGAGGCCTCTCAGGATCTGAGAGTTTGTGCCCCCCCCCCCCCAGAGTCTTGTCCTCACAAGTGGCTGTCATTCTTCTACAGACCCTGGGTCCCTATACCACTATTAAATAAGTCTAACCAGAACCTGGGGTCCCTAAATTCAAAAAGAGTCGATGCTCAAACCAATGCTAATAGCTCAGCATCTTGTGAAAACTTCTGGACAGTGAGAAACAAACCTCTCTACAGACCTTAAACACCAGGAATTGGGAAGGGGAAGCTGGGAAAGAAAGGTGGGTCTATAAGAGCCCAGGATGCTCACAGGTCAGCATCTTTTGGGCAACTTCATAGGCCTCCCTCATATACACATGTGGTGACCTTGACCTTCAAGAGAGTCCAGAAAAGTTGAACCCCACACATCTTGCATTGCCCTCCCCTCTGCCTTTGCCAGTACTTCCATCCAGCCACGCCATTCATTGTTATATACATGTTCCTGATTCTAAAAGGTCTGTAGCCATATTATAAGCAACTTGGAAAACAAAGAAGGAAAAAAACCCACCTAATCCTATTTGTCTTGCTAGTCTTTTTTCTTGCACAATTAAAAAAACATCATTATAAGCTACATACAAGTTGATGCCTTACTTTTTGAAACAAACAGTATTTTGATTTTTACTCTGATTATCAAAGTAATGCATGGTCTAGGTAAAAAAGGTAGAAAACATAGAAAAATATATAAAATAAAAGTTTCCCAAATTCCCATCATCCAGTGAAATTACTATTAATACTTCATGGGGTTTCTTCCAGTTCCTTTTCTATCCACATGATATATACCAAATATAATCAAAAACATATCATTTTTTCAAACAAAATTTAGATGATAGTGTACGAATTGCTTTATATCCCACTTTTTTTTTTACTTAATATAAAACATTATATAGTCATGAAAATTAATAACTTTGTAAAAGTCTAGTAAATGGATTTCTTGAATTATTTGGTCATTATCTTATTGACTTTTGAAATTGTCTCCAATTTTTTCAATTACAAATGTCATGTTGAACATCCTTCCGCTTTCAGTTTTTTTATTTTGAATTATTTTTTTTCTAAAGTTTATTTATTTTTTTTAGTCATCTCTCCACCCAGCATGGGGCTCAAACTCACAACCCTGAGATCAAGAGTCACACGCTCTACTGCTCTACCAGCTGAGCCAGCCAGGCGCTCCTTGAATTTCTTTAGGACAAATTCCCAGAAGTAAAATTAAAGGGTAAAAAGAGCAGGAACATTTTTATGGCTTTTGACATGCAGACTGTTTCAGAAAGGGCCACTGTTATTTATGCTACTATCACAAACTTAAGAGTCAAAAAATGGCACCTCATTTCAACCTGCATTTCTTTGTTACTAGCAAGGCTAAACATCCACATTTATTAACCAGTTCTACCTCCTCTTTATGGGGTTGTCAGTGCATCTTCTCTGACCACTTATTTACTGGATTTTAGGGGGGATTCTTATTTGTTAGAGAAAGCTTTTTTGTATAAAAATAATATTAACCCTTCCCATCATACCTGCTGTGAATATTTTCCTCAACTTGTTGCTGGCCATTTAATTTTGGATGATTATTCCCTTCTTAAACATTTGCATCTTTGCCTCTGATCCAGCTACTATATTCAAAGTCTTCTCTCAAGCACAAAACTCATGTACTGAGCACATAGCAGGATCAGGCACTGGGTTCCCCACATACGTTCTCATTTAAGGCAATTTATTTAACGATTTTTTTTTTTTTTTTTTTTTTTTTTTTTTTTTTTTTTTGCCTAGCCCTCCTCCTTCTCAGTGCTCTGTAAGGTCAGACAATGTTGTACACATATGTTCTTCTCCCACCTCTTCTGTGTTTTCTGTTTCCTTTGATGATTCCTCTTCTTCCAGCCTCTCAGTGACAGATAGCCCTGAAAATATGCATTTACTGAACTTTTAAACCTTCATGCGCTTTAGATTCATATGGGAGAAGGGGAGTATTATTAAATTCAGATTCCACCTCCCACCCAAAGCTTCCTGAATCTGAATTCCAGGGTGGATCCTGGAATCTATATCTTTTTAATTAGCTCCTTAAGCTAATATTACAAGGCTATGCCTAACACTCATCCTTGGAGGCAGCCATCTAGAAAGTTCCATCAGAAACCTGTCCTTCAATGTCTCCTTTATCCATCTTTTTACTACCACCTCGGCTGTTACTGCTTTATTTCAGGTCCTACGTCGTGCAATCACTTTTTCCTTCAGGCTTTCAGAGCTACTGAAGTTCCCAGAATCACCACACTGTTTCAAACCTATACATCTTGTGCTATTTCCTCTGCCTGGAATATCCCTCCCATCTCCTGCCCACTTCAACCTAGCAAGATCAAAGGAGTCCTTCAAACTCAGGTCATGGGCCATCTCCTTCAGGAATATTTCCTGTTTTGGCTCAGATGCTGGCTTCTGCTCCCCCAGCACCTGCCCTATATACACCTCCCTCATAGACCTTACCAGACTACATGGGCACCGCTGGTTTCTCTGTCTCTCTCCAACTCTGAACACCTTACAGGGTGGATTATGGTGTTATCTTCCCAGTTCCTGAAGCATGGAATTTGGCTGAATGAGTGAACTCCTGTGATTCACTCATATGAGCCCTATCTGCAGGTCCAGTACTGACCTCTTCCCTGGGCTACCCCAGGTACTTCCTAGCACCTTAAAAGTCCTCTCCACCCAGATCTTCACCTGTCTCTCAATCTCAGTGTGGTCAAAATAAAACTCTGGCCATCAAAATGGGCATTCCTTCACAATTACTCCCATTTTTAGCAGAGTTACTACCAATTCTTCCAACCTTCAAGGAACTCTGACATTATCTTTGATGGGTCCTTTTTAACATATTCAGTGTCAACTTCCTTTGAAGTTGGGGCAGCCAACCTCTAATCACAGCCTCCCATTCTTGGATACAGCTGGACCAATTATCTACAGGCACTGCCTATTCTTAATATTTGTTTATTTTTTGAGAGAGAAACAGTGCGAGTGGGGGAGGGGCAGAGAGAGAGGGAGACACAGAGTCCGAAGCAGGCTCCAGGCTCTGAGCTGTCAGCACAGAGCCCGATTCAGGTGTCGAACTCGTGAACTGCAAGATCATGACCTGAGCCAAAGTCAGATGCTTTACCAACTAAGCCACCCAGGTGCCCCTAGGCAGTGCCTATTCTGATTAGTTGGTGCCTGTGCTCTTCTGGTAGTTAAGTATTTTCAATATTAGCTCTTTCTATTTCTAATCACCTTTTCTTCACTCTATGCCCAGATCATTCTAATTGATACCTCTGTGTCTAGTTTCCACCCTCTTCTATTCATCCTTATACCCTTAGCCAAATCTTTTGAAAGCATAGCTCTTGCTGTAGCTTCCCTTCTCAGTGGCCTATATTTCCTGTGGTCTGACACACAAACCTCTAATCCCTCTGCCCAACCAGACCAGTCCAGCTGTATTTTAGATATCCTTCTACCACAAACCCCATGTTCCAGTTGAGTAGAGAACATCAATATGCATGACAGAACCCATACAATTACTTTGTTGTTTTTAAGTTATAGAAGGAATGCCTTTTCATTTTAAGGAAAAATACATGTGTACAAACTAAAAAACGAAAGATATGTCTTTCCACCCTGTCCTCACCACCAATCCCATTCACTAGAGGCAATCAGTGACTGGGTTCCAGTCTTCCTACATCCTTTAAGCTTTCTCCAATAAGCTTTTGCCTAGAAGCTTCTTGGACTGAACCATGTAATGCAGGGTCCAGAATCAATACCATTCAGTGCCTAGCTGATTTCAGGTATGTCCATTTTCCCATTCTATTAACTTTGCAACTTCTCAAAGCTAGATGAAAACTACATCACCCCTTCTATCTCTTGTGTGCCCCTAGAATTGAGTACAGCACTGGGCCTCTGATAGGTACTTATTAAATACTTTGTAAAGAACAATTGATTCTAGCTTCTTTCCCAGATAGAAATATGCAAACTTTCTCTCCAACTAAACCTTCTACCTTTTCTTAACTTGGCTCCACCCATCCAGTTCATGTCCCTATAACTGGGGGACTGCTTGTCACCCCCCCCCACTCTATGTCAGCAGGTGTGTGTGGAGCCCAAGCTCCCCTCCTTGGGGCAGAAGTACACAGAAGCAGGCATGCAGAGAATGAAAAAGAAGAAGGGGAGGGGGAGGGAAACGGGGCACACATATATATCTCAGCGGGGACATAAGATCCAGTGGAAAGGCCCAATTTAAACTTTTGTTGGAATTTAAAAGTTTGGATAATTTCATAGTTTGAAATACCCTATGGTGTAAATTGGTAGGCTTCAGGATAGTATGAACTCCTGCCCCAGCCCCAGGACCTGTTCTGCCCCCAAACATTTACAGAACACTCTGGGACCTGTGAAGACCTCTAGCCACCTCTCTTCCACCTCTCCCAAGTAGCCACTCCCACTAGGGCTTTCTGCTGGTCCCTGTGGGCCCCTGTTCTTTTGCCACAATCCCGTAGGGAAAGCTCCCTAAATGGGAACAAGCTGTGATACACCAGGTCCTTCATCTGTTTCTGAGGAGGCTATGCCTCAAGAGAGTATAAGACACTTTCACTTAGCGGTATTTGAGCTGGGTTCTGGAAGTGCTTTGGAGATAAGGACAAAAAACTAAAAGGATAGTGGCTTCCAGTTCCAAGCCCTGGTACCCTGAGTTAACCAGGCAAACTTTGCTTTCATTTGTTAAAAAGGATCTGCACTCTAAAAAGAAAAAGGAAATGAGAAGACTGACCCAAATGACCTAAAAAAAACCCCTGAGAGTCAAGCCATGGAGATGAGGCATGTGTCTGTAGTCAGGTTCAGGATTCAGCTCTAGTAAATTATAATTTAGATCACTTCCTCTGAGTCTTCATGATCAAACTAGGGTCAAAAGAAACACATCTTCCTCCTGCCCTCTCAGGCCAATGGAACCTGCTGTTCTGAGCACAAAGGTTTCCGGTTTTAAAGCAGAAAAGCAAGGATAGGAGGGTTTCTGGGAAAGGAGGAACAAAGTGCCAAGAACCCCCCATAGAGACATTGGGAGAGAGACCAGTCTCAGGCCAGAGGGGTGGAGACACCTACCTTGACACCACCGTCCGACTTCTTGTTCAGTAGGCTTTTGGCAGCTGTGAAAACAAAAAGGAAAATCAAGTCTCCTGCATTGTACTCTCTCCCTAACCTGAAGTCTGGCAGCCGGATCCGCAAGAGTCCGCTGTGTCTGACAAGGGGGCCAGGAGTCTCCTGAAGCCCCTGGAAAAGGGCCCTCCTCGTAGCCTCAAAGCAAGAAGGGCATCTCAAGCTGCGTCAGACCCTCAGGGTGGCACCCTGGGATCTCTTCTGCCACGGAAGTGGGCTCAGCAGAAACAGGGACACACTGCACTTAGGAGGAGAAACCACATTCAATACTGGAGCTGCCTGGGGTACTAGGAACTCTGCCTTCAACAACTTCACCCAGGTCTGGAAGCAGAGTGCCAAGGTGAAAGGTGAGGGCTCCGTCCTTAGATGCCATGAAATTCCTCAGAACGGCCAAGCTGGAAGGATGCAAGACATCTCCTAAGAGCTCTTAAGAAACAAGAGTGTCACAGTTCACAAAGGAGACCAGACGTGAGGACAGACAGACACAGACACAGAGACCAGGACCACCTACAGGAGGGTTTTGCCAGGGGGTTGAAGCCTTGACTGGGCAGGTCCTTACCAGGCTTACTGGGTCCTATCTGCCCCTCTTTCCTCAGTCTACTCTCTGGACCCACTGAGCAGGAAGGAGTGGGCAGAATAATGAGGTATTAAACAGATTCTAGCCAGGCACAGGATGAGGCTCAAGGCTGAGGAGCTTTGTGTAGGAAGGCTGGTGATGCCTGCTGGTCACCAAGGCCACAGGAAGGTAGCAGACAATGGATGGCAGAGTCTGGGAGGCACAGGGGGATGGAATCAGCTGTCTGATCCACCATGACAACTGGCTCTCCCGGTTGCTACCTGTATGACTTTGAGTGAGTTAACCTCCCTGAACTTCAGTTTCTTCATCTATAAAATGGGATAAAATAGGGCCTAGGTCACAGGACAGTGGTGAGGATCTAATGGGACCATGCATGAAAAGCACTAAGCAGAGTCCTTGACACATAGCAAGTACTCACTAAGTGTAAACCATTGTCACTGTTACTGCTATTCTTCCCTTCAAGTGGCCATTCCTACCCTAGTTGGGTCCCATCTAAGACTAGGGATCTCTCCATCACAAGAATTCTGACGTCCCAGAAATGGCCTATGGTCCTATCTCCATGCGGGGGCGACTTAAAATTTATTTATTTTTTATGTGTTTACTACTATGCCCGACCACCTACTGTGTTAAGTGCTTTGTATACACCAGAGTTTTCAACCCTGGCTGCCCATTAGAATCACTTGGGGAGCTTAAAAAAATCATTATGCCTATCCCCTGCCTAGGATTCTGATTTTATTTGTCTGGGGTGGGGGGTGTCAGCATCAGGGTGTTTTACAAGCTGTCCTATATAGGCAGGGTTGAAAGCCTTCCACATACATGATCGGAATCATCGCCACGTGATTTATTATCCCCACCGGGGAAATGAGGAAACTAAGGCTGGGAGGGCTGACATGACTTGTTCAGGATGTGGCAGGGCTATCATCCAAAACCAGGGATGGCTCTCTCTACAGCTTCTGCACTCTATAGCCTTTCAGACCTGGAGGCCTGCAAATGCCAGACTTCACAATTTTGAGAGGCATGGCTTCCTCTGTGGGGTCTGCCAACAGTGCTGACAAAGCCTAGTTCTAGCATTGGGCAGCTCCAGCCATGCCTGGGACTGTCTCTGGGGGCTCCCGCTGGCCTTCGCCCTCAGGCAGGCCAGGCTCTCGGCCGTCTGGAGGAAAGCCTCCTGCTACCCAGCTCCACGTCCCCAGGCTATTGCCTCCTGAGAGTTGGCAAGCGCCCAGCATGCACGGCTGGTTAGGGGGCTCTGTGACACCAATGCGCTCGCAGATGCCAAGTTAGGTGGTCCGTCTGGCATGCCCATCTCAGCCCGCAAGCATGGGACTCGCCTCCCTGGTGAGTGGGCCTGGCATGCTGGCCCTCCTGGTGGGGTGGCAGGGAGCCGAGGCAGGCGGTCGGGGGACTCATGCCACGTACCTTGCCCGGCCAGGCCGGCGGCGCTCGCGGCAGGCGAGGCGGGGGCGGAGCTCTGCCTGCCAACTGAGGGGATACAATCTCTCAGTGCACAGAGCTGCCGCAAAGCCACAGGGGCCAGTCAGCAGCGAGCATGCCCCAGCACGAGGCGCGGGAACCGCTGGCCGCCCACGCACAGCAAGGCCCAGGCGGCGTGGCCAAGCCAGCCGAGCTGGGGGAGCGAAGGCGCCAGGGGCAGGCTGATGAGCAGGTGCAGCCAGCCCTGCAGCAGTCTGGGGATCTGAGAGGACTGGGTTCGGTCAGGGTGTGGGGATTACCACAGCTCCAGCGCCTGTCCCATAAGCACCTCAGGCGAGGGTCTAAAGCCTGAATCGGTGAGAGATGGTGTCCTTTCTGAGGCAGCCCGGCCCTCGCTTGAGGCTGTTGAGGAAACTGAGCCTCACCTTCAGACCTTCCCTCCTTAGGGGACTTACATGAGGATATTATCAGAGAGCCCTTTTCCGCTGGCCATATTCCAAACAGGAGGGACACTGGCACTCGGGGCCAGGGGCGGGTGCATGGCCCTTGTGCAGCTCGGTTCACTGATGGGCCCTAGCTGCCTATCCCTCTCTTATTCCTCTAGCTCCTTAGAGACACGGGTTGCTTGCCCTCTTCAAGGGAGGTAGCCAGCTTTTCTCAGCCTGTATTTCAGTATTCTGAGGGTGAAGATGCCCAAGAAATGAGCCTCAAGAAAGAAAACAAAGGCTGCTGAAGCAATACATTCTAGAAGCCCTGATTCCACTATTAGCTAACCTGCTAGAGTCTAGGGCTAAGCTGCACCCCCTATTTGGGGTAAACTCAGAAAATGGCCTAGTTCATGCCCCAAAAAACACACAGGTGCCCTTCCTTCTTGATTATACCTGGTGACACCATTTTCTGCAGCAGCTTTTAGAGACAGGCTCTATCCCCAGATGTCCTAGAGTCATACTAGAGTGCTTGCAGCACTTTTTTGGGTCTCCTCTGACCCAGGGCAAAGTGAGCTCAAAGGCTAACAAGGTCTGGGCAGCAAGGACAGGAGGCTCTTTAGGGATGAGTGAAAGTACTTTGTCCTAACAGAGAGACCAATTTCCTGAAACCAGGATACCAATTTTCTGAAATGGGATGGGGGAGGGAGGTTGATGTGGAGGCCTTGGGACAGGGCACATGCTACTGATTTCCTGGTCTAGAAGAAACGCAGTGGCCTGTCTTCACATTTCTTCTACTCGGAGAGACAATAGATCACCATTCTAGGTCAGCACAGAAATGCCCTTGACCGTCCTCCAGAAAGCTCTCACACTGAGAAAGTAGAAGCTTCAAGTAATTGGAAGACAAGAAGCCTGATGTGGAACTACAGGTCCATCTCTGTTGGAGGCAGCCAAGCTGTGCTGTCCTGCTCTCATTTGTGAGAGTTGAATCCAGAACCAAAGTCTTCCCCTTATGGATAGCTACATAAGAATGAGTCCCAAACCAGCAACACAGGGGATGGGCCTGAGGTGGGACACTTCCCTGGTTCACTTTCCGGTCCTGACCCCAGGTTCTCACTTGGGTAGAGCTCATGAAGACCCAGGACTTCCCATCTGCAGTATCCTCAGACTCAGGGCCCTTAGGTTATCCTGAATCAGCACAGACAAGCCCCTCCTGATCAAGGGGGCAACCCTGGCCCAGAGTGGCTGTCTACACAAGTGCTGCCACACAACTCTGTCTCCAGGTCAGCACAGGAAAGCAAGGGAAGGAATCTTGCTATGAGAACAAGAGAAAGGGTCTTCAGCCAAAACAGCGGGGCTGGGGGTTGCGAGGCTGTGGAGGCCGGAGGGGAAAAGGCAAGCTGGGAAGAGACCTTCTTTCTTCAGTTAAGTTCTGACATTAACCTTTTCCTCACAGAAAGCCACTGGGCTTCCCCACTGAGGGCAAACAATGATGGGGTTGGGTTGGGGTGGGGTGGGGTGGAGTGTCTTGCATCTTAAAAAGACATGCCAAGTGTGATTTACAAATTACTGGTCCCAACTATCCCAATTTCTCAGGCAAATTTAAGCAAGTTGCTTTCCCTTCATCCTGCTGGTCTCTATTTCTTTACTTTTACACAACTAGTATCACAGAGCATATTTTAAGCACAGTCTCTACAAAATGTTTAAGCATCTGGAAAAATTTCTATTAGTCATCCCTACTTAGACACAATAAAGTAGAGATGGTCCCAGTAGGCAAATTAATGGTGGTGATTGAGAAGATTCACTACATCTCATCTCTTTCTTTTCCCCAGCACATTGTCCAATACCCTAGTGACTGGCTAAAAGCTTAAAGTGCTAAGAGTCTTTAGAGAATTAAATAAGAATCCCCAGGGACAAGGTAAATGGGAGGCTGGGCAGTTTACTCTTTGGGAGGGTTTAGGGAATAGAATTCGTAAATGTGAACCCAAGAGAAGTCCCCAGAATCTCATGTAATAGGACCCAGCAGCAGCAGCCCCTCAAAACAGGGTCATCTTCATATTGGTCAAGGTATTGCCTGAGACACCCACCACTGGGATGGCAACACCCTGTTCTGACCCACTCACCTCAGTGGAATTAAAGTGCACGGCTGGGAAAACATACCTGAGAAGTTTCTGGAGACAAGCATGGTCGTGAGGATGGCACCCTGGGGAAAGAAGAAGGGCCTGTCAATTCAGCTGGAACTCTCGAAAAGCATAGCCTGGTCTCAGGCAGAGGGCAGCTGCTGTCCAGAGCCTCAAGGCCTCAGGTCTTTGGGGCTTCCCAACATGTACAACTTTCACAGCTCAGCTCCAGCCAGAAGGGGAGCTTCCTTTTTGATGGGTTAGGACAGGCTTTTGTCCTGTCAAAAGCCATGATTCCAGGATGCTGGCAGCCTGGAAAGGCAAGACTCACCTTCAGTTTTCTCCGTGCATTGAACTTGCGCAAGCACTCCACAGTCTCTTGACGATGCATCATGGACGCCACCGTGGATCGTTGCTGGAACCCAAACAGACAGGCCTGTGAGCCCTCCTGCCAGGTCCTCTGCCCCTCACCCTAGTCCTAGCACTGTTGGCTCTGTGCTCAGCCACCCCTGAGTTGATCTGAAGATAAAATGAGGTCATAGATGTGAAATGCTTTTACAACAAAAGCACTATCCCGAACTCAAGGTTATATAAGGACAAAAATCCGAACATGAAAACATCACTGATAACTGATGCTAGATGAGGAGGGTGCATGAGACAGCACTCTCCCCTTCCTTGGGAAATGGGAGGCTACAGAATGGAAGAGAGTATCCTGTGTGTTGTGATCCTCATGCAGTAACTCCTTCAGCAACTGCTGGCTGAGCATGTACTGCACTCCTGAGCCGTGAGAGAACAGGCAGTGTTCCTGCTCTCTACAGAGAATGTTCATCCCTTCCAAGAGCCCCTCTCATCATACCCCCACAAGGACCTGAAAGCTGATCTGAGAAGCTAAGGGTCTTCACCTTGAAGTATCAATTCTTTTCATCATTTTGGATGGTAATTTCTCTTCAGTGTATCACTGCTAAACTTCCTTCCTCCTTAAAGAGTCCACTGGAAATGATTTACAATTATGATGATTTACAATGATTTCCTTGATGACTCAGGGTCATCAATACAAGCATCAATTATTATGTAATATTTTAATAGAGTGATGTCCTCAGGAGCTACTGAGTTATATAGGATGGTGGAGGGTGGGGCCTATGAGAATGACTCCCAGGACATAGTATAATCCCCAGTTCTTGAGTATCTGTTTTAAGTTGCTCACTGCCCCCCTCCTCCCTTTGCTGTTGCTGTCTTGGCTAGTTTGCTAGAAAAATAAATCCCACAACATGCAGCCTGGCGCCCCTCCATGGGGCTGCCCCATAATCCTTCCCCTCATCCCTGGCCCACTCCTTTTCCTGGTTCCCAAAGCAAGTCTGCCAACCTCCTCTTCCCTTTCCTGAGTCTTATAACTTCACTTCCTCCTCCAAAGCATAAATTTTTCCACAAGGAGAAATGAGAGATCATCACACAAGAACTCCTTCAACTTCAGACCCCCATCCACAAAGTGATTTTCATCTGATTTCAACCTCTTTTTACTAGCCCAACCTTTGCTTCTTCAAGTACTCAATATTTTTAATCCTTTATTCTAGACTATATTCTTCTCTATACATTATACTCAAGCCTCTCCTTAAACAAAAATAGAAAACTCCCCTGACTCATCATCTTCTGTATACAGTACCATTTCTTTCTCTCCTCACCCTCATTCCCTCTTCCCTCACTGAAGAAAGGGTTCAGTTTCTCACTCCACTGCCTCTGTCAGTGAAATAATGAAACAATGGCTTCTGATTGGTCAGAGTATATGGATTCTTCTCCATCTTTATCATGGACTCTCTGTGGCAGACCATCCCTTATTGAGACCTCGTTTCTTAGGATCTCCTGCTCCTGAACCTCCTTCGGCCACAGAAGTTCTCATTCCCAGCCCTCTTTGCTGGCTCCTCTAACTGTGTCTTTACTTGCTGGTGTTCAGTGGCCGTCTCTTTTCTTACCGAAGCAAATACAAGCCATAATGGGAATTCGATCAGCATAGAAACAATCCCATTTATTTCAACACCACCCACACAGAAATGACTGCAACCCACATTTCCAATTTTTAACTTCTTTTCTAATCTTTGGAACCACATTTCTAACCACCCATCTGATGTCTCCAGCTAGAGGTCCCCAGACACCACACTCGATATGTATAAAACTAACATCATCATCTTTTCTCACAAACTGGCTCTTCTTCTGGGTTTCCTCTGAATCAGTGAATGGTACAACCCTCTGCTTATTACCAACTCAAAATCTGGCAGTCCCCATAGATACCTCTCTCCTTCACTCCCTAAATCCAACTGGTCACTAAATCCTTTTGATTCTGTCTACCAAATATCTCCCAAATCTGTCCACTCTTTGCCACACCACTCAGTCTCCTATCATTACCCTTAGCTAAGACCTCATCTGGTCTTGCTTAGACAATTACGACAGCTTCCTGAGCTCTCTGCCCCAGCCTCCTTTCTTCTTCAATTTCATTTTCTACAAAGCTTCCAAAGTGACCTTTATTAACTGTGTACTTCATTGCCTCTTTATTTTTTTTGTAATTTATTGTCTTCATATTTTATTTTTTTCTAAGCAATCTCTACACCCGACATAGATCTTGAACTTACAGCCCTGAGATCAAGAGTCACATGCTCCACTGACCAAGCCAGCCAGACGCCCCTTCGTTCCCTCTTTAAATCCCTTAAATGGTTCCCTGTGCTCTCAGAATAAAATCCAAACTCATTAGGCAGAGACTTGTATGTCATGGAATCTTTTTGGCCTTGTTCTCTTGCATTTTTGTAGGCATATCTTCATCTACAACCAAACTACTTAACATTCCTTAAACTTGCCACAATTTCCCATGGCCTTTCACCCTGGCCCATGCTAACCTCTGTCTTCAGGTTGTATCCTGAGGAACTCCCAGCCAGCTGTCAAGAACCAGGACAGAGGTCACCTCCTCCATGCAGCCTTCAGTAACCTCACTACTCACCAGATAACAAGAGTTCCTGTGCACTCATTAGATTTTTTTATGTACTTGTCACATTGCAGAATGGCTGCTGTTTGAGTGCCTAGGTCCCCAGATAATTTTTAAGATCTCTGGGGGGAAGGAACCATGCTTTACTCATCTTTTTATCTTCAGTACCCACACAGTGACTGGCACTGAAGAGGCACTCAGTAAACACAGGAAAAGCAAATACATAAATGCACCATGGTTGTCAGGAGGCCTAACTGTACCAGATCCTCTTCTTTGTTTGAAAACAGATTTCAGGGGTGCCTGAGTGGCTCAATCAGTTGAGCGTCCAACTTGGGCTCGGGTCATGATCTCACGGCTTGTGGGTTCGAGCCCCGCATCGGGCTCTGTACTGACAGCTCAGAGCCTGGAGCCTTCTTTGGATTCTGTGTATCCCTCTCTCTCCTCCCCTCCCCCGCTTTCACTTGCACTCTCTCTCTCTCAAAAGTAAATAAAAATTAAAAAATATTAAAAAAAAAACAGATTTCAGCTTTATAGAAGTGTTCATGGAAAAAGAATATGTTGATCCACATTGACGGCCTGGAGGCTCTCCTAGCTTTATGACTGAACTTCAAGATGCTCTTTTTAACTGCCCAGAGGCCCCCTTTTGTTTATTTGTTGGGTCTTGGTCACATTCCCATTAGAGTTGTGTGACAGCTGAGAGCTGAATATGCACCCTAAGCTTGGTAATTCACTTTGGGTTGTGCCAGCTGCTTTCTACCATCAACTCTCTAGAGTCTGCAAGGGTCAACCTAAGCTTTCATTCAAGATCAGAACTAAATCACACCTGACAAGTAAGTGGGGGAGAGACAGGTTGAAGCCAATTAGGCCACTGCCTCCTTGAATCCCTCCTGGGCCCCACCCAGTCCCCCTCCCTCTCTGCTGGGTCTTTGCTCAGGGCCCAGAATTATTCTCTGTTCATAAAAAGGAGGGTGAGGAGAGTACTAAGGGCATATTGAGGGCTGACATCTCTGAGATCCTCCACCCCAGGCGAAGACACTTACGCAGACCCATGGATGCTTGAGAGCCTGGTCAGCTGTGATGCGCTTCGCAGGGTTTATGGTCAGCATCTGGTTGATTAAGTTCTTGGCTTCAGGAGTCACCGTGTCCCACTCTGGTGATGGGAACTAAGCAGGAAGAGGGAAAGGAGACATATGAAATCTGTGAGCCCCACACTCTGAAAGGGAGGCTCTGTCTTTGTTCCAACTCCTATAAATGGGATATTCTGTGCTATCTAAACCTCCCTGGCAGAGAGATGGAGAAGCCCTGGGGCATCCCAGCACCTGTGTCAAAACTTAAACACTAGGAGAGGAAGATAGAATCATGGTTAGAATGCCAGGATATCAGATCAGAGTGGGAAGGGGATTTCAGCAATCCCATCTTCTGGTTCAACCCCATCTTTTTCCTTACTAGAAAGAAACAGTGGCTCAACAATGTGCCCAAGGCTGCACTGCAGTGGAAAGAGCCATGACACTTCTTGTCCCTGTGTTATGTACCACATCACACCTCTCAGGCCATTCTTTGCAAATAACGGATCAAAGAGCTTCCATGCGCTCCTCAATTTTATAACTACCAAGAAAGGCTGTGCAAAAAAGTTGTTCCTGGGATAGGGTGTGGCAGGAATTGAGACCTGTATGCCCATCCTTGGGTCCTCAAAGTCCCCAGACACTCCCCATATCCCATGACATACTAAACATGTCCCCTCCTGTGGACAGAGCCCGAGGGTCATGAACAAACCAGTCCTTACATCATAGGCCCCAGCCTTGATCTGCTGATACAACTTGTGCTGATCCTCATCCCAGAAGGGAGGGTATCCCACCAGGAGGATATACAGGATGACCCCTACGAGACAGAACACAGGTCATCGGGGTCACTCACCTACTTCACTGAGGAACCAAGAAAAGCCACACAGGGCTCAGCCACGCAGAAAGTCAAGGTTATATCAGAGGTGGAAGTGGATGGCAGACCATAATGCTGTGCCACTAGCCCCCTCCTGCTATCCTTCGCTCCCAGTGTCACCGCCCACATCAGGGATTTCTTTAGGCATAAGCCATCCTCTAAGGCGTGCGTAAATCCCTCTTCAGGAAGGATGCAGTATAATCCAGGAAGTATTTGGGGAGGAGCGAGTGATGAGAACAGCCATCCCAGGGGCACTAGAGCAAACACCGTGATTTCACACACACCAGACACTTGTGGGGCCCACGAGGAATAGCGATGCCTCTTTCTCACCATCACTGGAAGTTGAGGGCCCTTAACATCAAAAAGCTGAGAGTGTGGAATGGGCTTACCGCAGGCCCAGATATCCACAGGTTTTCCATAGGGATCTTTCCTCAAGACCTCAGGGGACAAGTAACCCGGGGTGCCAGCAAAACCTGTAGCAGAAGAGAGGGCAGAGGCACACTGAACCCACTTTCTCTCTCATTAAAACCACATCAGCAATTTCCCCCGAGTCCCTTCTCATTCCTGCTGCTTTTGCTACATAAGCTCTCAGCACGTGGGCAGCAAGAGATGGCAGGCTGGGTTTCTTGTAGTGCCCAGAATAAAAATCAGAGGGCAACTCCGTGTGCCTACCAGGAGCTCCCATTCCTCCCCAGAGGCAGCAAGAATGCTGTGCTGACAACAGCTAGACTCACTGTACTGAGTCACGTAGGGCCAGGGGGACGCTCTGTACCCTCCCCCTTCTCCAGTCTCTGAGGAGACCAGGACCATTAAGGGTCTGGCTTCTAGTTCTGAAAGAGGAAAGCAGATCAGGAAGAGGAGGAAGGGTGGGGGCCACATTCCAGGAAGACAGGGTCACTCTTACCAAACCAAGCCTGCTGCTCTCCCTGGACTTCAATGGCTAGGCCAAAATCAGCCAGCTTGACGGCAGCACCCTTGCATTTACTCGCCAGCAGCAGGTTTTCAGGCTGTATAAGGAAAAAAAACCTTATGAGGCACCCACCCTCTGGCCCTGAGGAAGCCTTGTTTGGGTCCTCGCAGTACCACACCCTGGCACCAGGTGGCGCCTATGCTTCACAAGCAGAAGGCAAAGGGGGAGCCTGGGTAGTACCTTCAGGTCCCGGTGGACGATGTCATGCTGGTGGATGTGGTTAACACTCTCCAGGATCTGATGTATACAGTGGCTGTAAAAGCACAAGGAAAAGAAATGTCAGTGCAGGGTTAAACTACTCATCCACGACCACTCACTACAGATTAAAGCATGTAAGTCTGGGTTACAGATTCACAGGGAATCACTGAACAATAGCTAAAACCTTGGACTCTGGACATCATCTAGTTCAACCTATTTTACAGAAGAAACTGAGGTCCGGGCACATTAACAGGTTTGTCCAGGGATTCCCACTAGATAATGGCAGAGGACAGACCAGAACAGAGTCTACCAGGCCTCCCTAGACTGCAAAGGCCCAGTACAACCAGTCCATTTCCAGGAAATTGGGGACACTCCTGAGAAAGAGAGACCATCCAATCCCTTCCTTCTTTTTTCCCCCTATAGAAACTCTGTTCTCGGAGAAGAGACTTGTGGTGGCATCTTAGGAAAGCTAGTACAACTATACCTAAGTTGTTTTGTTGGAGGTACACTCACTCATTTAAACATTTATTGACAACCTACAGGCACTGTGCTTGGTAGCACACAGACTATAAAGATAAAACCCAGGACGCAGACACCTTTAAGAAATGATGTGCTTAACTACTGGGCATTTATCCAAGGGATACAGGTATGCTGTTTCGAAGGGACACTTGCACCCCAATGTTTATAGCAGCACTATCAACAATACATAAAGTATGAAAAGAGCTCAAATGTCCATTGATGGATGAATGGATAAAGAAGATGTGGTATACATATACAATGGAGTATTATTCGGCAATCAAAATAATGAAATCTTGCCATTTGCAACCACGTGGATGGAACTAGCAGGCATTATGCTAAGTGAAATTAGTCAGAGAAAGACAAATATCATATGACTTCACTCATATGAGGACTTTAAGACACAAAACAGATGAACATAAGGGAAGGGAAGCAAAAATAATATAAAAACAGGGAGGGGGACAAAACAGAAGAGACTCTTAAATATAGAGAACAAATAGAGGGTTACTGGAGGGGTTGTGGGAGGGGGGATGGGCTAAATGGGTAAGGGGCATTAAGGAATCTACTTATGAAATCATCGTTGCACTATATGCTAACAAATTTGGATGTAAATTAAAAAAGTAAAATTAAAAAAAAAAAGAAACGATGTGCTTAAGAAGGTTCCAAACAGGGCAACTGAGGAACATTTCTGGTGATGATTTTCCACAGAAAAAAACCAAACTAACCCAGAGTCACCTTCACCTACTATTTCTTTTCTTTCTTTTCTTCTTTTTAAAATAAGGTCCACGCCCAACATGGGGCTTGTACTCAACGTGGGGCTTGAATACATGACCCTGAGACCTCAAGAGTCTCATGCTTTATCACTGGAGCCAGCCAGGCACTGCAACTGCTATTTCTTGAATCAGGCCGTCCACCTTCCAAAATATCCTGCCACACTTGCAGTCAAACTCCTGGCAGAGAGCATCGGTGATCTAGAGCAATGGTGAAAAGTGGGGGATGATTTTGCCCACAGGGGACATCTGGTAACGTATGGAGACGTTGCTGGTTTTCACAAGCCATCCTCTAAGGTGTGGGTAAATCCCTTTTCAGCGGGGGGGAGATGCTACTGGCATCTAGTGGGTAGAGCCCAGCGATACTTTTAAAATGCTGCAATGCTGGGAGGCTCACAACAAAAAATTATCTGGTCCCAAACATCAGTAGTGTTGAAGTTGAGCCTAGAGAATGAGACCCCAGCCAGCCGGGAGGTACTACCAGATATGCAGAGCAGGCTTGCAGAGTGTCCGGGGGTGCTGGTCTGATGTCCTGGACTTCTTATTCCTTCCTCTAAAATCTGATTCTGGGGCTTCCACAAGAGCCAAGGGGTCTTACCAGGCTCCTGAAGGCTGAGGCTCAGGCCTCCCTTCAGGACACAGCCCATGAGTAGGCCAAAGAGACTTCAAGACTGAGCTGAAGAGGCGAGTCTCCACAGAAATGTATAATTAGAACAGAGCCAGGCTAGCAGGGAGAGCCTTCTGGCCAAAAATGGCAAAAGTGCGAAGTGTCCCAGCAGAGCCAGGCCAAGCCCACTGGTACAGTCACACACAACCCCTCCCCTCCCCCTAGCCAGCTCTCCCTCCTCCCCGCCAGGCTCCCAGAGCTATCACCGCCTCCTCCTGCCCCAGAGTCTGGTCCTCCCCTGCTGGCACTGGAATTCATCTCCCCACTTGAGAATTTTTCCCCGAGGCCGAAGCATCTGAAGTTGATCAGCAAACGCTGGCCTCTCAGGGTTGAGAAATTTGTGAGGAAGCTGCACTCCCCCACTCTCCAGAGGCAGCCAGAGCTGCCACAAATGCCAGATAAACTGTAGGCAGGATGATCAAAACCAGGTTGTATGGACATCACCCTCAGAGAAATCTCAGGGCTGGGGGAGGAGCCAAGGCAGGAAATACAGGTCACACAAGCACCTAAGAGCTTTGTGGTCAGGCGTGAGAGGCAGTGAAGGCAGATATGACCAAGGAACAGTCCTCCAGCCTGAGGAGCCCCACATCAGGGCTGGTCATGGTGGTCAAGGGACTAAGTGATCCAGGATGGAATCTCTGCCAAGAAGGTTCCTGGTTGGATTATTAGCCCAGATGTTTACACTCCTTCAGAACACAAGCCATGTTTCCTCCATCTCTGGATCATTCCCAGGATGCCTTGCACACAGTAAAATTTGTCAAAGGAAAGAAGCAGGGTAGGGAGGGCCCTTGGGCAGGCTTGCCAGTACACAGTAGTGCAAAGAAAAGGTATTTCCAGAGTGAAAGGATAAAGGAGACTTGCAAATGCTTCGCAAAAACACGGATCTGGGAGTATTGAACTTTTAACTTCTAACATCACCTATCAAATGCAACCCAGGTCCAGCTTACAGAATCTCTGTCCAGATAAGAGCTCTTCTGATCTTCCCCAAAGACTATTCAAATAGGCAAAATGCCTGCCCCCCCTAACGTGGCCAAGACTCACACTGAACTCTAGGGCACCCATCTCACCTGGCATCAGCTTCACTGTAGTACTCTCTGGCCACGATGTCTTCAAACAGCTCCCCGCCGGTAACACTGCAACCAACAGACAGAGAGAGTCAAAGGGGGTAGGTCAGTGTCAGTTGGCCAATACCAGCATCCAACAGGAAACAAACAGGTCACACCAAGGAACAGCTTTTAAAGAAATCCAAACTCTACATGCATTTCATCTGAGAGCCCAGAACATGCTCGATCCTTCAATGACATGGGGCTTCACCTTGGGGTAATGTGGGCCCTCCTTTTCTCCAGCACATTTGTTTCTATAACCTACAGATTAGTTAACACTCAGGCAAAGAAGAATATACAGAGATCTAGGAGAAAATAATCAATCTACTCAGAAAGTCATAGCTTTATTTGAGACCAATATGAATACTAAGATACACAGCTACCCAAGAAGGACAGACCTATTCTTAAAGTTGAAGAATAATGAGACCAAGGACACAGAGACCCAATCCTGAAAATACCAGAGAGGCATTTCCAGGAGGTAAAGAGCCACTTTTAAGATATTAAACCACAACCAAAGTGGAGGAGAGACCAATTGGAGTCCAGTTTATGACTAATAAAAGCCACCTTCAATTTCCCAGAATTTTTAAGGTCATGTGAAGAGCTGTATTCTATTTCTCCACTAAGGACAACACACCAAGAAACAAGAAAAAAGCATTTGCACAAGGTGTGCTGCTGAACAGAAATGCAAGAGTAATGCCATCCGGGGGTTCAGAGCCCTGGGGAGATACTGAGTGAGCAATGAGGTCCCCTGAGCAACCTGCCCATTACTAGAGGAAGTTCAAACTCAAACCCTTTCTTTTGGCTAAAGGAGAGGGACTCTCAGCAGAGGCTGAAGACCCAGTTTAGGTCTTTTTCCAAGCCTTCATCTTGAGCCAGCTGGAGGGAAAGGCCCCCACACCCTCAGAAAGTGGAACTTACAGGTCAAACACGAGGTAGTGAAACCCTTCTTCAGAAATACTGTCATGGAGGCGCACTGCAAGAGAGGAGATGGGGACAGAGATTAACAGAGAGAAACCTTGGAAACCTACTCCTCTCCTCCTCAGCAATCCCACCCCTGTCCCAGCCTGTCAGCCTCACTGGACGGTCTTCTGAAGGAGTGGCAGTAAGAAGTGGCGACATGCCCATCACCCCCCAAGACCAGGTGACACAGCCACAGAACAGAGAAACAACCAGACCCCAGGTCCAGTGCTCTGGCTGCCATCTCATACTGCCTCAAACGTAGGCAAGAGATAGAAGCTTTGTGGCTAAGAAATAAGACAGAAAAGCAGGAACCTTCCCAGAGGTGCTAGTCCCAGAGGAGGTGGTCCTGGGATATGATGCATGACAGCGTAACGTAGAGCAAGAGCAAGGACCACCTGGGGATGCTGACCGCAGAGGAACAAAGAATGACAAGATGGATGAACCCGAGAGCTCTTTTACGGGAGTAGATGGGAAAAGGGGAATTAAAGGCAAGGGGAAAAGCTGGAAAGGTAGAGTCCAGCAGGAAGGCACGTGGAGTGAGGCTAATGGATGGTAAGCATGGGAGGCAACATGCAAACTCAGGCAATGACAATAATAATTGTTTATTAAAGTGCTTATTACATGCCAGGCCTTGGGTTAGGCTCTTTGCATACATTATGTATTTCTACAAGCATTTATTGAGTGCCTACTATGTGTCAGATTCTGTGCTGGATGGTGGAATTTAGGGACATAGCAGCTGCCTCCAAGGAGTTTATTCTTCTGGACAACCACTCCCATTCTACAGATGAGGACGCTGGAGGCTCAGAGATGTTGTATCTTACCAAAGGCCAAAGATATAATAGGTCAAGATGTAAATCCAGCTCTTTCTGAGTCCAAAGACTGGTCTACACCACTGCTTCCTATAAGAGATGCAGTGTAGCCCACACAGCCAGGCAATAGAGCAATGGAGACTGTGAGAGAGACTACTCGCAAACGCACTTATGACAGCAGCATAGACGGGTCCAGGAGGCCACTGCAATGAGCAGACTAGGGCAACTCACCCGCTGCAGGAAAAGGCTGGCAAGCAGAATCCCTTCCCACTTCCCGCCTCCAGAGCTCCTGGGCAAAAAACCAATCTAATGTCTTCTGAGGTCTCCTTTTCAAGCTTCTGCCCACAAAGCCACCTGTGGCCTAAATGCCAACCCCTGAGCACCATTCTAATGCAAACACAAGGAGATGCTTTGGCTGAATGTCCCAGCTACTCCCGTCCCTTCCCTCACCTGATCTCTCCTGATGGGGAACCTCTGTCTGACCCTTGCCAATCCTCGGGGGTTTCAGGAGCAACTCACAGAGCACGTTAGGAATGGCCTGACACCAAACCAGCCAGTGAAGATCTTGGATACACAGAAGTCATTGTGTCTCTTCCTTGGTGGCTCCATGTTGCCAACCACCCCAAATGACAGATTCCATTTCCAGTGTCAGACTGTTTCCTCAGGGCCAAGGGGCTTCCCTACATCCTCTCCCACCACAGCAAGATCAGCCAGAACATAAAATATAGGCACTTAGCCGTTACTACAGCTCTGTGGTTCTTCTCAGTTGACAAATGAGGACGCAGACCTGCCAGAGCCAGATCCAGGGCCCAACAACTGTCATATCGCCTACTTTATTTGATCTGATCCGGTTACCCAAAGTTCTACCCCAAACTCAGTATCTCTGTGATTTACCAATGGGATCAAAGGCAGGTGGTACTACCAGGATCCCTCCTCCTCCAACTGTTCCCTCCTGTACTTGGGCAAACAAGCTCATACTTCTTTAGGCCCCCAGATGACAGAAGGAAGGAGCTACAGCCAGACCCGTTCTTCCCTCCCACGCTATTCAACCCAGGCGTGCTCAAGCGAGCTCCCCCAAAGCCCGGCCAGCCCCCTCCTCACTTGTGCTTCTCTGGTCTAAGTTGGGGCTGCACACAAAGTCTTGCTGCAGCTGCTGCTCCCTTGCTTCCAAAAGGACTTTCCATTTAATTAAAAATTCACTATTAAAAAGCATTAAAGTGTGTAATACAAATAATCCCCTGGAAATCAGCTGTCCCAGAAGCTAAAGACCAGCTTCATTAGGGAGGTGACTAACAGTAGCAGGACAGTAAGCTAATAGTACAGCAGGTACGATGCTAACAACCACTCCCAGGGGAATCCTGCCCCCCGGCCCTACCTCTCCCAGCCCCTGGCCCCTGTGCCTGCCTCTTAGGCTAGCACAGCAGGGCTGAGAATGGGGCAGAAAGTACAGGCACCCATGCCCATGCTGAGATATGGAGGCACTGGCGCTTGCTCTTCTCCAGGAAGGCCACACACAGAGCCCAGGTGGGAGGAAGCAGGGGAGGGGAATCAGAAGAGAAGAGCAGTAATGGAAAATTAATCCAGCCCAGAGAATGGCTTTGATGTGTGCCCCAGAGCAAGGTACCACTGAGACAAGAAGGGACAGGTGCACAAGTCCCCATACCTGAACGAGATACTTTTTTTTCTCTTGCAAAGAAAATTAGGAGAACTGAGAACGAGGGAAAAACTTGACTGCACAACTCTAAGTGCCTCCCTAGCAGAATCTTGATAATAACGATCCAAGTTATAACAGCTAATATTTAGTTGGGCTGTTTCTATGTGCTAGACATTGTGCCAAGTGCTTCACATATGTTATGTTATTGAACTCTAAGAAAGGTACTTCTACTACCCCCATTTGACAGGCGAGAAGACTGAGGTTCCGAAAGGAACTCATCCAAGCTCATACTAAGTGGCAGAACTGAGACTTGAAACCAAAACAAACTGACATCAAGATTCTTGACATTGTAGAATTGCCTGCGAGGGAGTCACTTTTTTCTGTCCTCTTAGGCTAAGGAGCTCCAACCTGTCCCCACTAACTCCGGCCATTCCGACCTGCTCCCCTGAAACAGGCATGGCTGAACAGGCCATGGATATGGCTGTGAGGAAGAGAAACCCAGCCATGCTACTGCAGAGCTTCCAGGCCAGTGGGGAAGACAGGTGTTAAACCAGCACTTACACAAATATGTAACTAAGCACTACTGTGTTAAGGGCTATGAAGTAGAAGTAAAGGATGCTACGGAATAAAATAATCACCCAGCCCGTTCCACAGTAATTAGATGGTCGAAGGCCAAGGAGGGCTAGACTAAGTCCACAGACGGGAAGACCTGGAAAAGGACTATAAAGCATTTACTGCATTTCAGTGATATAAACCTAATTACTGCTTTTTAAACACTGCGGAAAGAAAAAACAGCCCAAACACCTAAATACCTTTACTTGATGGTTCGTACCTCCAAGCACTCACAAAGCCATAACCCAAGTGCTGTGGCTATTTCCAATTCCTTAAAAACCACCCCAAAACATGCCATATTTTAACTAGCAAATCTTGGCTTGGAAAAAGCGTCACTGTTAAAAGTGTCTGCAGCAATAGCAGAGTGGGAAGGAGGTCCTGCTTCCCGGGGGACTGATGGGAGACTCTGGCTGCCCTCCCCATCTAGGAGCAGGTGGGCAAGAACCCCCTTGGAGCAGAGATTTAGGAGCTGCTTGGTCATGATGCAATGTTTTCTTCTTTTTCTTTGCACCTGTTTTTGCTACACTTACTGTTAGCTAAATGGCCCTGGGTCCAAGGTAAATGGCAGCCTGGCTTAAATAATCTGCAAACTGAGCTGGGGCTGAGGATTTAGGGAAGATCACTCCTGGGGGCTAGAATCTCCATTTTCATCACTTCCATTTATTTCCTAGGCCTCCTTTGCTCACGGAGCCCTCTCACAACTCCACGAAGAGGCACAGATAACAAAATGGAGGTGCAGGCAGGCTAAATAATTTGCTGCAGGTCACAGCTACAGACCAACACATCCCAGATTCAAACCTGGAAGACATGATACCAAAGCCACACACTTTGCTTCTCCATATATGGTTCACAGACCAGCAGTGTGGGCATACCCTGGAGACTACACACGAGGAAGCTCAGGTCTACCCCAGACCTCCTGAATCAGAATCTGAATTTAACACGATCCCTCGATGATTCATGAGCACATGAAAGTTTGAGTAGTGCTGCTCTAAACCATAATCCTAGACTGTGATTGAACCTCCCAGGGCAGCTCAGCACGAAGGAAGACAGAGTCTATTCATTAGAGGAATTTAGAGCAGGGAGCAAGCAGATCACAGGTAGCACACATTCCACTCAGACTAGACAGTACTGCTGCTCGCTCCTCCTCTCAACTCCACACCTCTGGCCACTCTCCCAAAGATGTTTTAGGTTCTGCAGTTAATGCCTCATAACCAACAGGCTTTTTTTTTTCATCAATAAACTTTATTGTTTTGAGCAGTTTAGGGTTCACAGCACAACTGGGTAGGAAGTACAGACAGCATCCACATACCAACTGCCCTACACACTCATGGCCTCCCCTACTGTCAATATCTCCCACCAGCACGGCACATTTGTTATCATCGATGAGCCTATACTGACACATCATCGTCTCCCAGACTCCACAGTTTACAGTAGGGTTCATTCTTCCAGCAGGCTTTTAACCTCTGGGATAGAATATCTATCAGGGAGGAAAACTGGGGATGCCTGGCTCCTTGCACCAAATATCCTTCTGAATTCAAGGGTCTCCGAGTCTGACAGCAACCAGAGGGTGATCATGTGCTCTCTGTTCTCAGCATCCTCAACTCTGCACCACTCTCGGGCTGGTCCACTTGTATCCCTGCGGGATGGAGTTAAAGAGGCTGGAGCCAAAAGGGCCAAAGCTCTGAAGGAGGGGGCAGCGAAGAGAGGAGAAGAATAGTGAATTAGGGCACAAAACTGCCTCCTCTCCCGCCACAAGCCAGATCAGGATCCATGGCAACCCCCGCCTCCTGGATCCACAGTTCCACCACATCTCTAGCAGCCCTGGTTCCCACCGGAAGCCAGAGAGCCTGGCCAGCCAGCTCTCCCAGGACACCGTCCTGACTCACCCTTCCCTCTCCCTGCTCTTGACCCCAGAATAAGGCCTCAGACCAACATCCCTCAGGATCTGGGAACATTCATGACACGAAGCACAATTCTAGGCAATCAGATGCTGATGAAGTGAGGATGCCTTTCCTGGGTTGGGTCTCGCTGGCCCCCTAACAGAGCAGATGGCTGAGGCAGACGGTCTCCAGGTAGAGCTGGGGGCAGGTAGATAAAAAGGAAAGAGCTACCAAACCAAAGTAAGGTCTAAAAGGTCAAAAGTATATATTTCATTTCTAGAAATGCATAAAAAGAAGGGTATGACTGTTTTCAGCTAGAATCCCATTTTTGCCCTTCCTGGTCATTTCTCAATTGTCTTCATCTTACCTCAACCCTTCTAGGGTCAACCAGGTCAACCAGGAGGTGGTTCCGCCTCCTGCCTCATTTATCCCACCCTATATTCTCCTCCCTACATGAGAACAGTTCATCATTATTCTATGAGTTGGTCACAAGTAGCATAAGGAAAGGAAGTGGCTGTCCTCAGACCCTGAGACCTGGGACTGGAACATCAAAATGCTTCTGTGTTTGTGGATGGCTTTAGCTACCAACACACTTTTTCTTCCTGTTCTGGAACTTCTAGGTTAGAGGTCACAAGCTCAAAAGCCTATGGCAATCAGTGCAAACATGAGGTACCAGAGAGTGGCAAACGATGGTGACCAGCAGGCTCAAGGGACAGCCGCTGCCCAGCCCGAGCAGATGGAGGCTCAGGAGAGCCACAATGTCTGATTCGAAAGACTGGGAAACAGAATTTTTTTTTTTCTTCAAAATGTGAAATCTCGTTTTTAAATATTGGCAAATAATAAAATATTTTTAGACCACTGAGCTGGCCAAACAAAACACGCCTGAATTTGCGATTGCTGGTCTAGTTATTCCTCTCATTGTCTCTTCTCTCCTACCCAAGGTGATACATTGGTCCCAACTGTGCTGTTTTCAGGTGAGGGTCTAACTTGAGAGCTCACCCAGGGAGCTCCAGTAGTTCCAAGCCCAGGACCCCTCAGCTGAGAGGTACTGGCTCGATGGAGCACACTGCACCAGCAGAGTCGAGCACTGGCTCTGCCAATCTGCTTCAGGTGTAATCCAAGCTGCCGATTGTGATCTGTAAAGCCCTGCATGGTTGGAGTTCTGGTTACCTCAGAGCTGCTCCTCTCCCCCTTGGGCCGGAGTACGACCTCGGCTCTCCCATGTAAGGGCTCACGTTAAGCATTCCAGCCTGAGGTCTGGGAAACCAGAGGCTGGGTAGCTCCGGAGGAAGCATCCAGCTTCGGCATGTCACCTCACAGCCCCGGCCGCCAACAGAGCAGAGGGTGAGGCCTCCGGGGCACTGTGGGAGCCCCGATATTTAGGCCATGCCTGAGGAGCAGGGAACACGTGTTGTTCTTTGTGATGACTCAGGGCTTTCAGGGAAAACCTAGGAGATGCTCCCTGCTCTGCCTCAAGTCAAGACTGGGGTTTCTGCTCAGACGCTGCAGCCAGCCCAATTTCTGTCCCCTCTGCAAGAAGCACCAAATCAGGGCCAACGCTTTTGGCAAAGGCTATTTCAGCTGAACAATATAAAACTGAGCTGGAGTGGGTTGTGGCAGGCAAACCTCCTCAGGCTTTAGAACAACCAACAATGTGCTCTTGTCCCCCAAGTTGGGGTGGGAGCAGGGAGAAATCCTCTTAATTTTTTCTCCTTCCCCATGAGAGTGGCCCCTGCCATCCCTTCTCCAGAGAAGCCAGGCGGGTGGGCAGCTTGCTTTCCTGGCTCTGGGGAATACAAACGGGAGCACCATGGAAACCCCCAGAGTGTGCATGACACCGTTAACAGGAACAAAACTCTTTCAAGTCCAGAAACAAAATCCGGACCCTTTTATGATGGCTGTGGAAGGCCCCTGGTGAGGGATGCTGGCAGGCTACTAGCCCAGTGCCTCACACGCTGAGGATCCTGGACCTCAGCCCAAAGACGGAAGGAGAAGGGGAAGAAAGGGAGTCCAAAACCTGTTCCAATCCTCACATCCTAGCCCTGAAATAACACTGCAGGGATGGAGACCCTCAGGTCTCTAAACTAGAATGCCCCAGAATTCTTAGCAAGACACAGTTGCTATCCCACTTGGACAAAAAAATTACACCAGGCAAAGGCCCAGGGGCAGAAGTGGTTTCATACACAAAAGCAGTGCACCTCTGTTCTCCCTGCCTTCTACAATATGCCCAATAAATACCCTAAGCACTTACCAATGTTTGGATGTTTCAAAAGTCGGCATATCCGGGCCTCACGTTCTAGTTTTTGGTGATCTAAAAGCAGAAGAGAGGAAACAAAAACCATCAACCATCCATTCTCTTTGTGGCCACCTTGCTATTCACACTCTTCCAACTATGCACTTTTTACAATTTGCTGAATTAATGCAGCAAGTCACAGCAATCCCAGGGATAGGTATTATGACCACTTTTTCCAAATGAAGTAATGCTCTAGGAAAGCACCTTAAGTTAGTGACAGGTGGAGTCGGGATTTGAATCCAGGTCTTCAACTAAAACTCTGGTACCCTTTTCACTATAGCAGGGATTTCACTGGGCCAGGGTGTCCAGAATTTCTTTCTTGATAGAAATACTAATAATAGCTAAGTTTTATTGAACACCTACTATATGACCAGGCACTGTGCTAGGAGTTTTACATATATTCTCTAACTGAATCTTCATAGTATCCCTGAAACATAATGCTGCTGACAACCAAGATGATGATGAAGATGATAATGATTTGATAAAATAATCATAGCTAACATTTCTTGAGAGCTTACTTCTACACCAGGCAGAAACAGCTTTTAACTGATTCTCGTAACAACTCCATGAGGCTGGCACTATTATGAGGCCCTTATTACGGTAATCCTGCTCTCCCCAGGATCTGCTTGGCCATACACCGCTATGAGCTCTCACCTCTTTGCACTCAGGCACTGGGGTTACTCTGCTTTGGTGAAATGACCAGAATCTAGGAGATCTCAGATGCAAGCAAGCAACATTGGTCAATTCCTTCCATAGGAAGGCAGAGCTCCAGGAAGTAGAAAGAGAGGATGCTACTATGCAAAGCAAGGTGGCCTAGAAGCCCTCTCCACCCCACCTGCTGGAATTCTGCCAGACAGCCCCCTCCTACACAAAGTCTCCCCTGTTCCTCTCAGTAGATGGGACTTCTCCTCCCCCTGACCATCCCCCCACCTTCCACTGCACTTCTTATAATGTTCACATCATACATTGTGTCCACCATCTTTTGGTCACAAGCTCTTTAAAGGGTGGGATCTTTTTGAGTGATGCTTCCTAGAGTTCCTTCCATAACAGAGGCTTCATAAGGGTTTATCAATAGCATCAATAGTAGTAACAACCATTATTTACTAAGGATTTACTATTTGCCAGGCAGAGGCATAGATTATCTTATGTCACCCCCACCAAACCCCTATGAAGTAAAGGATCTGATTAACTCTATTACATTACAAGTGAAGAAATGAGGAAACTGAGGCTTAAAAAGTTGAGGGAACCTGCTCAAGGTCGCAGGCAGTGGATGCAGGTGGTCTGAGCCTAGAGCCCTTTCTCCAGCATGATGCTATGATGACAGGATAAAGAAAAGTAAGAGCAACCCGTAAAAACTCCAGGCTTTGTGGGGGCATAGCTCAGTTCACCTCGACGTCTCCAGGCCCAGGCAGGTACCTTCACATCTCCATCTGCCAAACAATTCCTGCCTCCCTTGGTAAGGGCTTCTCCCCACCCTACCTCTACCTTAATAGCAAAGAGCCTCTGTAGAGCTTGCCATGACTCCCACAACCATCCTACCAGGTAGGTGCTATGACGGTCACCATTTCACAGAAAATGACACTGAAGCCCAGAGAAGTTAAATAACTTGCCCGAGATCACACATCTGGAAAGGGAGGAACTAGGATTCAGACCCAGGCCTGCCAAGATAATGTAGTCTGTGATAATGCAGGGATTATAGACTAAAAGGAATTCCTAATTGTTGTTTCACCAATCACCCCTAGTTTTGTCCTAAACTTTCCCTCTAGCAACAGTTCTGCTTTGTGGAAAAAGGAGGTGGGGACAGGCAGAGATTAGTTCCTGCTGCCCAGGCTAATCCATCCCAGCTGCCCAAAGATCTGGGTCAGGCCCTCCTTCCTATCCTCAGGTTTGGCATTACCTCTAACCGGGATGCAGCCAGAAAACCACAGGTAACCCCACACTCCCACATCACCTGGGACCCATCAGTCCCAGGGACTTTCAGACCCTAGAGTTAGTTGAGAAAGTAGTGCTAGCCCAGCCCAGTTGGCAGGGGGCTTGCTTTTTCCAGATATGGCTGGAAGGATGTCAGGGCTACCCCACCTTCCTCTCAGCCCCTGAAATTGGGATGGGAGTACCCAGCTAGCCAGCCCCAAAGCTTCCCTCTCTCTGACCACTTACCTCACCACCCTCCAACCCACAACCCTTGGGCATGGCTGCCCAGGCAGGTGCAGAGGAACAGCATCTTACAATGAGGAGGTGGCTGCTAAGGGGAAGGCCTGTAAGATTAATGTTTATCTCCTCCCATAAGTCTCTTACTGGCTAATGGTTCCAGTCCCACAAGAGCAACAGCACTAAAAATAAGGGTGCTCTGGCTTTACCAGTGACTCAGAAGGAGGAGAGACACAGATTCATCCTTCCAGCTCCTTGAAGGAGCTTCCCAGCGTCCAGAGGGTCCTTGTTAGCCACTTAATTCAGCCCTGTCTCCAAGAAGCTGAGTCCCCATGTCTTCTCTGAACCCCAGGCTACTCCTTCGTCTTTGCTCTGATCCTTAACCATGCAGTCCATCCATGAACACAACAGTTCTGGAGCCAGACAGCCCCGGGTTGAGTCCAAGCCCTGCTATATCAGGTAAGCTATTAAACTCATCTGAGCCTCATTCATGCATTCAAAAAAATATTTACTGAGGCCTTCTATGTGACATGCACTGTTCTAAATGCTGTGGATACAGCAGTGAACAAAACAGGACAAAAATCCCTGCCTTGATAGAGGTGATATTCTAGTGGCGCTGGGTTGGGGGAGGGACAGACAATAAGAACTAGATGGCACATTAAATGTCTTGGCAAGTGCAATGTAGAAAAATAAAGCAGGGAAGGGGAATAGTACATATCTAAATAGGATGATCACGGAAAGCCTCAGCAAGGAAATGACATTTGATTAGAACCTAATGGAGGTGATAAAAGGAGCCAGATAGATACCTTGGGAAAGAGTGTCCTCACTTCTAAAACAGAGGCAGTCAGGGGCGCCTGGGTGGCTCAGACAGTTAAGTGTCGGAGTCTAGATGTCGGCTCAGGTCATGATCTCGCGGTTTGTGAATTCCAGCTCTGCATCCACACACTGCCAGTATGGAGCCTGCTTGGGATTCTTTCTCTCCCTCTCTCTCTGCCCCTTCCCAGCTCACACACTCTCTCTCAAAACAGTAAATGAATAAACTTAAAGCAAAGAAAGAAAGAAAACAGAGGCAGTGATATCTGCAGATTAAATGAGGTAATCAGGTAAATGCTCGGCACGGTGCCTGGCACATGGAGAACCTCAGCCGTGGCTATCACCAGAGACACAGAGAGTTGGACCCATTCTCTCTCAGCTTGGGCACCCAGAGAGTCCACAACACACCAGCAGAGCCCTCTGACTCAGCTCTGTTGCAGCCCCCCTGGGCATCGAGGTATTCTCTCCTGTTTTGGTGGGGCCCACCTGTGTCTACAGCCTGCAGGTGAAAGGTTAGCAACAGGGGCTTCTCAGAGAGAGGAAAGCCTAAGGAAGTGCCACTGCCTGCAGGATCCCTCCTCTTCCTCAGCCTCACCTTTGTTGGCTGTGGCGTCCTGCCATGCAGAAGCTCTGCTCAATGAACCATGTGGTTTTTGCCAACCATTCTCTCTCTGCCTCCTCACACCATACACAGCCAGCTGGTACCCCGGCCTCTCTGCTATTGTCTCCTGTCTCTTTCCTCCACACACCTCCTGGCCTGTAGTCCCCTCCAGGACTGGTCTACGTCTGGGGAAAAAGCAGAGAGCTCCACCCTAGCAGAGGCTGTGGTATTTCAGGAACAAATATGGTTTGTAGAGCATCTTTCCCAATCGCAAGGGCTGTCCTGGCTAACGCACAGTATCACAACCCCAAAAGAGGTGAGGCCACTGAACTGACTTGGTCCACAGTGGCAGGTCAAGGGCCTGGCTGGGCATCCTAAGGTGATAACACACCAGCTGGTGCTCTTGTCACAAAGGTGGCCTTCTCCCTTGATACACCCCTCCTCCCACTGACCATGGAGCTCACCGTTCCTAGGCCTTCCAAGGCTGACCCTCTTCCCACCCACCTTTCAAGCGGGCTATTCCCCGCCCCCTCATGTGGCCCAGCCCCCCCTTCCTGTTTGACAACAGCCACTTCCCGCTTTTGCACAGGGCCACTTCCTGCCTGCCTGTGTGCTGCTGCCATGGAGAGACCCACCCCTGCCGACCTTCAGCCCAGCTCCAACCACATCTCTCTGCAAAGTTCTCCCCCTCAATAGCAGAGGTAGCAACAGGAGCAGAAAGCAGAAGTGGCTGTTATCAGGGATCTGCTTGGGCCTTCCCCAACAGCCCCTCCAGACAGAGCCAGGCCCAAGAAACAGGCATCCCTGGAGGCTCTGCCTCTCCTGCCTTTTGCCCAAGTATGTCCAGACCTGGTCCAGGCCAAGTACCCATCACAGGAAGAGCAGCAAGGAGTGACCAGAGGGTCAGTGCCAAGCGAGACAGAAAAGAGGAAGCAGTGAGGAGACAGCATACGGCAAAGGGGAGGCAGAGTTCTAGAACCACCTCTCCCCTAAACCCAAAAGAGAAGCCTACTCCAAATGCACTTTCCTTCCATCACAGGATCAGGGGCCAGGGAAGGCTGGCCATTGATCCTCCATGGCCCTGTAGGGATATGACTGATTTAGCGACTTTTCTCTATAACCACAAGTGCCAGCACTAATTTAAAAAAAGATTTTTTTTAACGTTTATTTATTTTTGAGAGAGGCAAAGACAGAGTGTGAGCTGGGGAGGGGCAGAGAGAGAGGGAGACACAGAATCCAAAGTAGGCTCCAGGCTCTGAGCTGTCAGCACAGGGCCTGATGTGGGGCTCGAACTCACGAACCATGTGAGATCATGACCTGAGCCAAAGTGGGACGTTTAACCGACTGAGCCAACCAGGCACCCCGCCGGCACTAGTTTCACATAAGATCCTACTGCCACCTAAATACACAACCCTCTATCATGGAAAGGACACAGAGCTCTACTCTGGCTATGAGG